GCGAGCGGCGCGGCGCGGAACGGAGCGGAGCGGGGGAGCCCGCGGGGGGACAAGATGGAGGCGGGGCCACGGGAGGGGGACAAGATGGAGGCGGGGCAATGGAGGGGGGACAAGATGGAGGCGGGGCCACGGGAGGGGGACAAGATGGAGGCGGGGGTAAGGGGGGATAAGATGGAGGTGGGGCCATGGAGAAGGTGGAGTCGGGGGCATGGGGGCTTGTGGGGACACCGGGAGGGCAGATGGGGCGCGGGAGCCGGGGTGAAGCACCAGGAGGAGGGTTGAGGTGCCAGGAAAGGAGCAGGGGCACCAGGGATGGGTGGGGATGGGAGGGCTGGAGAGGAGCCGAGGGGCGATGGGCGATGGGCGATGGGCAGGGAGGCCGGAGGTGCTTCAGGTGCAAGGACAAATGAAGCAAACCCCAGATTTACTAAGTGAAAAARTCTGTTTCTTGTCTGAGATGGTGGTTTTGGCGGCTCTGTAGGACCCTGCACACTAGGACTGGCTTAAAAATTAGGCTTTTAAATGAAGACCTATATGTATATATATTATATATATTATATATAATTGTCAGAGCTTTATAGCCTAGACTTTACAGACTCTGCTGGGCTTGGTGTTGCATAGAAATAATGGCAACTTGTTGCACACCCCCAACATTTGCCATGACAGAGCCGTAATCCCTGCTCCATCGTGCTGTGGGAAAGAAGTGGCTCCGGAGCCTGTCGGGAGCAGCCAGCAGGCTCCCGTGTCCCCCGTGTCCATGAGCGTGCACTCGGGCACAACCCTCGGGAGACTCGAGTGCAGCCTTTGGCGCTGGGTCGGCATGGTGTGATTCTCCCTCTTCTCCGTTCTTTTCTATCAGGTTCTTGACAGCAGAGGTGACAGTGGCCGGAGGCAGAGGGAGCATCAGCGAGGCCGCATCCAGTGYCGGGACTGCCCAGGCACTGCCAGCGCCCTGCCTGGGAGCTGGCTGGTGTCCCAGTGTTGCACCCTATCTGTGGTCGTACAGGTGTATGCCGTCAATCCAAGCTGCTGCTGACGGGGACAGCCCAAACCAGACCTTGGTGGGCYGCAGCGAGCGGAGGTGCTGCTGCTCGGCTGCTCGCTACCCATGAGAGGGCAGCACGAGGCCATGCGGYGGTGGCTGCACGGTTGGAAGTGGTGGCATTGGGCATCCGAGCAGCGCAGGTTGGAGGAGCTCATCCTCACGAAACCTCATGTGAAGTGATGGGTGAATGTTCACTCAAATTTTGCCCCCGAGCATGCTCATTCCAGTGAATATGTGAAACCAACCAGGAATAGGGGGGAAAAAAGAAAATCTCTATGGTTTTCCCTGCAGATGAAATGTGTAATGAAAATTGACCCTTACTACATTTTTGCAGGGGACTGTGCGTGCAAATCGTTAATCTTCAAACTGAGAAGAAATAGGGTCTGTTCTTCTGCAGTCTGACCAGCATCAAGTGCTCCAGGATATCTGTTCTTCAGAAAGCATGAGTGATGTAAGACTCGTGAAATTAAAAACCTGTTTACACTTTGATTTGTTTGCTTTCCAAATTTTGAGCCTCTAAGCCACCCTCAGGTCATGTTTCTGAGCTCTTTCCCTGCAACATTGCAAAATCTGGCATAAAATCAAGACAGCAGGACTGGCAGTGTCAGAGAACCAGTGTTGTGGCAGATCAAGAATTATGAAGGGGAGCACTTGACAACCCTGCTATCTGATGCCTTCTGTCCATATATAAAGTAAAGTTGGAGCAGCAGGAAAGCAATATTTTCTCTTTTCCCYCTGGGTGTATCTCAGCTGGAGAAATCGCTGCTGATAACTATACAATAAAGACATGCAGTTGTTAAATAGCACTCTTTTTTTGTGCTTGGGTGTTGCTCACTTCTCATAGCYTCCCGCTCCGTGGTGATTGTGCTGGGCCTGCCTTCTGGGACATACCTTTCCCAATGGATTTTTGCAACCTAGTAACTTGTCCACTGAGTTTTGTTTTTCAGAACCCTCAAAGTTGTCACACTCTGTTAGTACCTTGCAACTCCTCAAAGGACTTTTAAATGCCAGTAGTTTCTTCTTTCTTATTTGATGAAGTGAGTCCAACATCTTTAATATCTCCTTTCCATTTTTCTTTCCAGCTGAGTAATGCAGAACTTGCTTTTTCCTGGGATAATCCATAGAGATGGATATTGGGCAAGGAAAATGCAGAAGGAAGCCAGGATCATGGGACCTCATTGGACAAGCAGGAGGTAAGAATTTTATGTTCTGTGCTATTTCTGAAATGACTGCTGTTTATGCACCTAACCTTGTGACAAAGCAAAAA